GAGCTAGAACAAAAATTTTTTTATCATTAAATAGGGAATTGTTTATACTATATACACCACTATTCAAAACAAAAAAATTCGCACCTACGATTTTTTCAGAAAACGCCGCCTAAATGCCCACTGTGTGCGCCACGCTATGATAATTCGAGAAAAGACTGAGCCAAACAACATTTTTGCACACCTTGAGCTAAGAAAATCATGAAGTTCAATCTTATGGGACCAAGACTCAAATCGAATTGGGTCCTGGCCCCACGCCCTACCCCCATAGTCGCGCTACTAAGATCGTCCAGTCATATAAAAGAAGCAAAACGTAACTTTTTATGTAAAACGAGAGTCACTAATATCGAATACTCTGACACATTAGGATGTTTAAGTGTGCCAAATTCCACTCCAACATTTGAACACAATTACTTTCAAAACAATATAGCAAAAATCAATCATTATTATCTAAAAAATCGTTTCAAGAAAATTAAATCTTTTTTTCACAGATAACTGCTGTTATTGGTTACATCCTCTCACTTCTTTGGCGATGTGATAACGATGGGTGGAGATCCGAGACATACATATATTATACTAAAATAAGTATATTTAGGGTAAAAGTTGAATGAACGCTCTTTTCTGAAAGCAACATGTGTTCAAATGTCAGAGCGAACCTATAACACGCTCAAACGTCACTTTCTCAGAATATTCATTACCACTAACGCTTGCGTTTGAGATGAAAGGTTGAAGGTTTGTTTTTATACGACTGAACAATCTCTTTCGAAAGAAAAGCATGATCTCAGCATTACTGTTAAAAGCAGAAGTAACAATGTTAAATCTCAGGCAGTGCTTACCTTTATGAAATAAAGTAGGTAAATATTGCTTTTATGGTTACCGTCATTGTCTTCTTCATATAATTTGAAAAATCCTGCTTGAAGAGTTATTCCGTTCTCATTATCGTATAATTCGTATGTTATAGGAGAATTGTCATCTATTATTAGTTTTGACTGATAAGTAACAAAAGAATGCAAAGGAACCTCAATATCGGCAACCTGAACAATAGCCGTGAAAATTGTGGAAGGTAGATTTGAAAATTTTTCATTCTTGTGTATTGTTACAACACTTGTTGGAGCCTTACAATTCAGAGCGTAAGAGTTTCCAGGACACTGACAGATTGTCCAGTCTTCATAAAAATTATCCTTATACCTTAAACAAATGCCATTGTTGTCACATTTAAATATAGAAGTAGAACATTGATTTGGTATTTTCAAATTACAAGTTGCACCCCATGTGTTCACAGGACATATACACATAAAACTTGTATATTTTGATGCATTATAATCATAAAAGGTAGGTAAATAGATGCTGCTATTTGCACAAGTTGAGCTAACATTAGTCAACGTGTCATTCGATAACTTCCATAAAACTGCTTCATCACAATTTTTACCATTCCATTCAATTTCACAGTCACAATAATAATCATTTTCTTTATTGAGTATTGGATAGCACGTACCATGTAAACATTGACCTGAGCACACTTGTCGCAATAATCGTCGACGTTCTCTTAGATCGACATGCAGAATTTTGGCAAGACGATAAGCTGGTAGAAAAGGATATTCAACATCGTATTCCCAAAAGAACAGTAATTTTACATAGTCGATATCAATATTATACAATAAAAACTTTATCTTGAACTGAGAATTTTGATCGAAATGAATATGTTCGAGTAATATCCATGGATAATTAAGATAAAATCGATGTGTTGGAGTTGCTTTAGCCAATTGAGTAATGATAAAATGATCTATTGTCCGATTTTTATATTCTAATAATACTAATAGTCGAACTATCGGAAACAAACTAATTTTAGCTCGCCGTGTGAAATCTGTGACTGTACTAGCATCCAACACAACGGCGACTGTGAGGCGATGATTATGATACTGGCAACGATTACCAAAGTAACTCGGTGGACATAAACAAGCTAGTTGGTTTCTTCTTAAAATAAGAACACCACGATCACAATACCATGCAAATTTATTTTCTGACGCACTTTTTGTCTCTGGGATAATAATATCATCCTCTACTGGCGTCGCTCTGTAACAAAAGCGTTCATCTTCCATAGTATTTCTGCAGTTGACAATATTGTCACAACGTTTAGTGTTGGAAATACATTCCATTAGAAATGGATGGTCCGGATTACACTCGCAAGTACCTGGTGGGCATAAACTTGCTGAACGATTTGTACATAAGTAGAGATCTTCATCCTCTCCTTCTAAACAATGTTTAAAACCATCGCCTAAAAAAAGAATGAATCTAACTTTATGTTAGAAATGCTCTTCTACGCTCAGATCAGTCACTTACATGTGTACATTTGTTCAATACAAGTGCCATTTAGACATAAAAATCGTTCATTTAACGATAATCCATCTTGACATGCGTACGTATTTCTCTCGTCTTGGCCTCCGATGCAATCAACATGGACATCACCTCGCAAACGCCACTTGGAATTAATATCAATTATTTCTTTGGTTGTTATATTTCGACATGGTGGCAATTTTATTTTATAAGCAGAGTGCTCTGCATCACAATTCAGTTCGTCTCTGCCGTCAATGAAATTCCAAATACCATCACATCGTTTAGGAGGCCAAACACAGTTTCCATTCCATAGTTCTACGTCATCTCTTTTGTATTTAATTTGACTTGAAGTACCACAGACCCAATCTGTGCAGTTAATTTCGTCCAAACCATTCCGTACATCCCAATGGGAATTGCATATGCCATGGAAGTCTATTGCGAGTCTGTTAGATCTTTGTGCCCATGATTGTCTGATCAATCTACAATGCTGCTGAACCTCATCACAGAAAATGATTTGCCAATTCACAACTGAACTCATCTCGTCACTTCCATCTTCACATTGTTTTTCTTTATCACCTGAAATTACTATTTGAAATCTAATTCGCTTTCAATCAATTATTTGAACAAATTACTTACCTAAAAAATGAGGTAAAACCAATCCAGGTGTTGTTTCACACTGATATCTGTCTCGCAAATATTTCTTGTCTAAACTGCTGATTAATGAATAATTACGTTCATCTGATCTATCAATACAGTCATAAAAACCGTCAAATAAACGATATTTTGATATGCATTCATGCGATGTCCGACACAAATAAAATGATGTATTATTACAATAGAACGATGATATCAGGTGTTTTTTTATTACATTACCAAATAGATATTCAAATGGTGGAAAAGGATAATTTTGTTCATAAATATTTATATAATGAGAACAATTAGTCTGTTTATAACCAGCAACACAAAATTGAGCAGGACGTGTTGACTGGTGTAATACTAAATGTGCTATTTCGTAATTATAATATGCAAATTGACTAGCTTCAAGGTAAGGTTCAATAAACGGTGTAAATGAATATGATTCAAAATATTTATAAAATACTCCAGAATTCGAGCATTTATCTCTAACATGTTTAAACAAGGACATAATAAGCGAACCATTATCATTCGAATAATCAGTCGTCCTACTTCGCACGACTGCTTCGTGACATGTATCGTTTTCTCCGATAAAATTCTCAATTTTCCAATCACATTGACCTGTTTTCATTGCTCGCATATTTTTCTTTAATTCACACATATGAAATGCATCTTGATAATTGTTACAGAGCGTTTCATTTGAAAATCGTTCATTCCATGCAATACATTGCCCATCACCACAGGAGAACTTTTCTTTACCGCATGTTCTTTCGTCGCAGTCAATAGAGAATGCAAGAAAACAATCTTTATACTTATCATCTATAGGATGATAGGAAGGAAGGAAGTCCGTAACGCGCTGCTCGTCGGTGCCATCTAAACACTCTCTACCCATATCGAATAAAAACCCTTTTGATATACATAATCCGTTTCGACATCTAAAGTCATGTTCTATCGTACAACCATTCATTTCAATTTTTTCACAATTTCTTTCATCTTCACCGTCTCTACAATCTTGCTCATTGTCACAAATATCACGCCAATCAATACATCGATCATTCCCATTCATATCCAAACACGTAATCAAGTTGTAACATGAAATTATTCTTACACTTGGATATTTAAAAGGTGTACGTATTCTTGCCGTTATATGTTTTTTTAAGAGTGCATAGATGTCTACTGGTGATTCTGAAATGTCATCATTAGCATGACTGTATTCACAAAATCGGCCGAAGTTCGTCTGTAATGAGCAATTGCAAATAAAAAGCTGCTCAATCCACTCGTCTATTTTCAATTTCATTTGTTTGTGTGAAACATATCTGGCATAATAACTTGTTACATCCAGAGGTATATTCCAAGCTAACAACTCTTCTGTTCCCACATGTATTCAATGGCAAAGAATTTCAAACATTCGTACTACGGTATATGGAGATAGTTTAATCTGTCATTCTATTTAGTAGATGAGTTCAGCTTTCAAGGCCTGCCACAAACGGATTTTAGATAAAATACTAGCATTATCACCGAAAAGTGTAAAATATGGGTATTGCTAAAAGACGCGAACAGCCACGAACACCCCCAAATTAAAATCTGAGTTAGCCAATCGATAGAGCTCGTCGAGCTGAGTATAGCAACGTCTAACGAACACCCAAAAAACTTTTTATAGTTTCGCTTCTTAAGCATACATTTTGAATGAACATCCATGAACATCCACGAACACAAAGAAGAAAGAGTAAGAACACCCAAAAAAGTGCGCCAAATTCATCTTCAGGTTATTCTGGGCTGAGGGTGTGATGTGGGGGTGAGGGTGAGGTACTGGTAGGCCCATCCTCAGCCCAGAATAACCTGGAGATGAATTTGGCACACTTTTTTGGGTGTTCTTACTCTTTCTTCTTTGTGTTCGTGGGTGTTCTTTGGATGTTCGTAGGTGTTTGTGGATCTGCGTGAGTGTTCATTCAAAATGTATGCTTAAAAGGCGAAACTATAAAAAGTTTTTTGGGTTTTCGTTAGCTGTTGCTATACTCAACTCGACGAGCTCTGTCGATTGGCTAACTCAGATTTTAATTTGGGGGTGTTCGTGGGTGTTCGCGTCTTTTAGCAATACCCGTAAGATATACAATGTATTTGAAAGATAAATTATAAGAGTCTCTGTGAGTAATAGTTTTATCGGTATTTTATTTTGACGTTTGTGAACAATGTTACTTGTGGTTTACACTCTTTTCTCATATCGAGATCAAGAGACTATTGAAGTTACATTTTGTTATTGCATTGATATGTTTCTTATTACATTTTATTTGCTTTTTATTCTCAACCCATACTGCTCGAAGAAAACTACATATTCTCGACCGTCAACTATTTCTTAAACTTTTATTATTATTCTAGCACGTTGTTTCGAAGTCTAGTCTACAAGAATGCTTAGTTCGCGTATGGCATTCTTTCACTTTCTCTTTATCTTTCGTTTGCACTCTGATGTTTTACTAACAGTTCAGACTCTGTATTATGTTGTAATAAATAACTCGCCTGAAGATTTGAAACCAAAGACTTTTCTACAACGGATAAAGAGCAAACGGTCACAATTCTTCTCCGAATAAGTTAGCATGTCATAAGAAAAGACGTCCATTAACTTTCCAATCAATTTTCCTAGCAATTATTTAGTAAACAATAGTTAACAATTTCAGTTCTAGAAGAACTGGTAGCAGTTCAAGTTGAAAAGAACTGAACTGGAATTTTCCACCGCTACCATAATACCTAATCGAATAATACTTAGGCTTCAATAGATTGCTAGAGAATCGAAATGAAGACTCTTTAAAACTTTCGAAGCTGCAATGCAAGTACACTATAGCGAGGCATTGCCTGGGGCGTCAGGAGGCAGAATTGTTGAATGTGAGGAGTGAGAGTATCCAGTTTCAGAGAGAAAATGGTAAATTGGCTCAAGCTCATTTTTCTAAAATTATCCTGTGTTATTAAAAGAATTAATCCTATAATGAAGTTTTTTGCTAGAGTAACTTAGTTACAGAGAGATATGATATATATTAATTACTATCGTTTTCCTGACGCGGACACTAAAAGCTTGAAAAATGAGTTAATATCACGTATCGTTTTAGACATCGTCCGCTTCAAAATTGCTCAACTTTAAGTTACGTTTTCTCATTATCGACTCTTGTCTTGTCGGAACTAGGATTTTTCTCATCTGTTGAGATAAAGAAAGCTTCAGAATTACACATAAGTACATAAAACCCGAAAGATGAGAAAAATGCTAGCTTAGACAGACAAGACATATACCGAACTTGTCCAAAAATGATGAATTTTCTCATATGAATACGCAGACTTGACTCTAACGTAGATCGAATATTTTAATAACTCAGAGAGAAAAATTTTCATTTTACTTTACCGGATTTTTGATTGGATTGGGATTGCCGGTAGTCGTTAATTATCGACGTTGGTATCATCGATACCGATGCACAGAGTACACTTTTCCATACAGCAGCGGACATGTGATTTTTTAATTGAGAAAGCGATCATCTTTCCTCCAAATTGCTTTTTTATGACACAAATGTTAGTAAAACGGAAAAAATCCAAATTAGAAAAAAGATTTTTTTATGGAATATCCCTGAGAGGAGGCCGTTGACCTAAATTTTTGTCGATAACGTTTTTATTTGAAAAATTACCAAATTATAAGTCTTGTATGCTGATTCCAAATATGTCATTTTCATTGAATAAAACTCTTTCTGGATTGAAAGAAATGGAAAATTACTGAAAAACCGAGGTTTTTTGGATACCCTTCCATACGGTTCAGGAATATTTATGCTAACTTATGCTAATTGTGGCGATAGAGGGCACCTAGAAGAACATTTTTGATTAGCGGTTTTTCCATGCTAATTAAGTTTTGTAACAAAACTTTTTATGCCATCAAATAGAGCATGCCTTGAAGTATATTAATCACTATTTGGATCGACAAAAAGGCGACTTTCGTTTTTTCACCTAATGTCTGCCTGGATACACACTGTGCCGTGCACATCTAACTGAGACTACGTCAGAAGTTTCCAGTACAGTACATGCTAATAACAGAAATTGCTACGTTGGAAATAATTCAACGTTTTACGTATATCTGATCCGAAAGCGACAGAAATACCACGGAAAAGAAAACTTTATTATGAGACAAAAGGCTACCTGCACTCATCTACCCTACTTCAAGTATCCTGAAAAGTTGGCTAGCCGATATTCGACAAGGAAAGAATAATAAGCCTTGGTGACAGTATCATAGTAACGACACAATTAAAACAATAAGACTCATTGCGTCTTAGTGAATAGGTTTTTCTACTTACCTTTACCATAAAGTTGTGCAAATGGAATTAGTTGATCCTCACTTGTAAAACATTGGCTTTTTCCGATAAATAATGGTTCATAACTCTTATCACGTAAACAAAACAAAAAATGATCCATTGATTCTGTACGGACAGGAAGCAAATCGAAATAATTATGTGGTCTCAAAAAACAATCTCGATACATAGCATTTTCATTCGTCGTCATCGTGAATTCAAGCCATACATTACTTTTTACAAATGACGATAACAATAACAATACGCACAATAAAATTAAATGTTTCATTATACAGCCAGAAGGCAGTAGCTAAAGAAAACTGTAATGAATCGACAGAAACAGAGAAAACTGTTTAAATAGATGATTAAATCTTTGTTTTTCAGTTACAGAAGACACGCTCTTCAAACTCAATAAAAAATAATCAAGGTTTTTTATTTAGTATTTTCTCAAATAAAAAGTTGATAGACTATATCATGAACCTTAACAAACGAATAACATGTCTGATGTCAATTATATTTCCAACACCGTTAAATCAACAACAAAGATATTTTTCACTCTCAGAAAAAAATAAAATCATTTATTTGATCAGAATTCACGTCACCAAGAGAAAAAATAGCAAATATCTGTTAATTGTTGAAGAGAAAACACGGAGGAATTTCTTATTTTCAAAGAAATCAACGAATGAGAAATGTTTCGCATCTAAATATAGAACAACCATTCACCATTTCAAGATGCCGATGTGCAATAGGAATGAACGGATATTTCGAAGATCATTAGCTTTCGTCTCAATCGCAGTTTTTGTTTGCATTTTGTCATTATTATCTTTCAAAATCGAAATGATTGTATTGCGCGAACGTTTAAAAAGAGACTTAGCTATTTTTCACCACGATTTGCCTGATGCATTTGTCTTTCTTATTCTCGCTAGATATTTTTCCTTTTTTGTTTCATAAAGTGCAAAATTGCAAAAAAATTTGATTATATTTTTCTTTTAAACTTGGAGAAGACGCAAAAAAATCACTCTACATTTTTGATAAAAACATTTCTCTTTCCGAGATAACAGTCTCAACTCTTGAGTAAACCAGCGCTGGTCCTTCGAAAATAAGCGTACTATTTTGCTTGGCACACATGCATCTACTGCCCGAAGAATTGATGATTCTAAGATTTTTTGCTTTCTCATTTGTACACGTTGAATTGTAAAATAAAATGACTGCTGTATACAGAATTTGTACAAGTTTATAACGAAAGAAGTTCCAGTCAGTTGCGGTATGGTTATAAATTCTTCTTGTGACAGGCTCGAACTTGGATATGGAAGAAACTAATCTAACTCTAACTATATTGTGATTACACTGCGGACACAATTTCTCTTCTACAACGACACTCTCGACTATTTACTGGTAAAAACAAGTTCTAAGGCTGTTCTGTCTTTCCATCACTACTTATTCTCGTAGGTAGCTTTACTAATTGTTTAAAATTCATTGTCTCTAAAAAAGTCAAAAAAATAAAATAATAGCGATACGTGCGACTATGACTAATATCCATTGCAGAACATTGGTTTTTACCTATTTTGTGTTAATTTCACTGATTTTGGCGAAAACTGGAAATTTTATCGAAAAATGACTTGTTCGTTTTTCTATGGCCGTAGAAAAACTGAAATTTCTCAGCACTGCAGCAAAAGTTTTCAGAAAGCTAAACGTACTTTGTTTTTGCTTGCGTAACGACGAATTAAATGTGATATAAATTAAGGCTACGTCT